GGGTGATGGACGAGAAGAGGGGGCACAAGGATCAGTCTCTCACCACCTCCGAGCTTCCAGCTTTGATGAGGGTATGTGTCCCACAGGACAAGCTGATGCCCTTAGTCATGGAGCTAAATATGCCTCTGGCCCAAGACTTACACTCAGAAGGGGTGATGGACGAGAAGAGGGGGCACAAGGATCAGTCTCTCACCACCTCCGAGCTTCCAGCTTTGATGAGGGTATGTTTCCCACAGGACAAGCTGATGCCCTTAGTCATGGAGCTAAATATGCCTCTGGCCCAAGACTTAAAGAAGCTAAAGAAGAAAATCTGGCAGGAGCTGAAGGATCTGTGGGCTGGATGTCGCCCCAGGCCAGTAAGTTGAGCCAGCAGATTTCAACAACACGGGTGAGCTGCAATGGTGCCTTGTGCCTTATTCTGACCTTCCAAATGTAAAAACCAAAGGGTACTGCTTTAATCCCATCTTCCAAATAGCATGAAAAATGCCTCCTGTGAGGGTCCCTAACTGAGTTAGCAAGGAAAGGAAATCTCTGGGAAAAATCATTCCAGTTTAGCTGAATTTACATAAAGCAAATCCTCCACACCCCTCAATCAACTACAACATGGTAGCAGTAGAGGTCATTAAAAAATATGTCAGATATTTTTCCTTTCTTAAAGCCTTCCAAATGCTCCCCATTGCATCTAGAATAAAATCCAAACTCTAATGTGGTTTACAAGGCTGCATAGGATCTGACCCCTACCACTTCCTCAGCTCCTTGTGTTTTGTACCCATTCCTCCTTGCATACCATTCCTGAGCCACTGGCCTTCCACCTGCTCCTCAAATGTGTTGAGGTGATCCCTGCCTGAGAGCCTTTGCACTAGCTGTAACACCTGCCTGCAACATTCTTCCCTTTGATGGATCTTCACATCATTTTATTCAGGTTTCAGCTCAAATGCCATCTCCTTAGAGACCTTCCTCCCTGACCACTTAACCTAAAGAAGCCCCCACACACCTCCATATTCTCTCATCACCCTGACTTAATAGTCCTTATCATCATCAGAAATTATCTCGTTTATTTATTGTTTGCCTATTTTCTCATTTCCATCACCACTATTATCACAATGTAGCCTCTTGAAGAACAAGGATTTTCTTGTTTCTCTGCCTGGCACATGATAGAGCTCAATAAATGTTTGTTGAGGGAATAAATAAAAATATTTAGATTTATATCCATTTTCTAGGGATGCCATAACAAAGAATCACAAAATATGTGGTTTAAAACAACAGAAATTTATTTTCTCTCTTGTTCTGGAAGCTAAATATCCAAAATTGAGGTGTTAGCAGGGTCCATGCTCCCTCTGAGGACTCTAAGGAAGAACCTTCCTTGCCTTTTCCAGCTTCTGGCAGCCCCAGGCATTCCTGGGCTTGTGGCAGTGTAACTTTAATGTCTGCTTCCACCTTCACATGGCCCTCTTCTCGGTGGGTCTGTGTGTCTCTCTGTGTCCTTTCCTGTTCTTACAGAACATCAGTCATTGGATTTAGAGTTCACCCTAAATTCAGAATGATTTCATATTAAAATCCTTTATTACACCTGAAAAAACTCTATTTCCAAATAAAGTCACATTTACAGCTAACCAGGATTAGGACTTGAGCCTATCTTTTTGCAGGACACAACCCCTCTCATTGCAGGCTGATTAAAGATTTCTATCAGGCCTGCTTCTTCTACTGAGACAGGGTCCCTTACAGATTAGACTCTGAACTTGGGACTGCTTATTAGGACCATTTGTTAATGTTCTATTCCACAAGAAATATAGACATTTTTAGATAGTGCAGAAAGGAGGATTTTTACATTCCTCTAAAATATGAGAGGGGTAGCAGCTAGGATACGGAAAGTAATTAACTGAATGTTTGCAGGATCCTGAATTAGGAATGTATGTGATCGCAAAGCTGCTAATACACATCTTGGGGTACAGCTGAATGCCCAACCATACTTGGCTGCATGGCAAATTGTCTGGATTTGTGAGTCAGGTTTTTGACAATGTAACAGCTGGAAGGAAAAATGACCTTTGCATTTGTGTTAAAACTTAAGAAGATTTTGCAAGAAACCATTCCACATTGTTGGGAAGCCATTAGGAAAAACCAGGCTTGTTGGAGCAAGCTGCTGTAGGAGGAATTTAAAGCAAAGTGATAAAGGAGACTCTCAGAACTTCCTGTGGAAACTTGACCTATCCTCCCCACCCCTTGCTCTTAAAAAACTTGTTCAAGGGGAGAAGTCTTTGACTATTCAGAAGACTGTTCAGGGTTGGAAGTGAAGGCAACAGTCCAGCCATGAAGAGCTAGTAGTAAAGGAGTTCAGCTACCCAACTTAAGATTTCTAACTACCAGAGCCCCCTGACTATAGGATAAGTGGGTTCCTTACTTTGGGTCAGAGAGCACAAAGGCCCTTACTTTGGGTCAGACAGCACAAAGCTTTTGTTGTTAGAAAAGCTCTGGGGCCTTCAACAGAAACCATGACTATTAAGTTTTTACCTAATTGGGAAGCCAGACTCTAAACAGGAGAAGAGGAACATCTCACATATTTACCCCTGAAATCTACCAGCCACCACAGACAGATTTAAAACCCACAACACTACTTGCAGGTGGGGCTGAGAAGGGAAATGCTTACATCTGTTTTGGTCATGTGAGGATGGCTTTTTTTTTTGGTAGACTGTACCTGTGAGAAAAACTCCATCACTGTCCTCCAGAAATTAAGGTCCAGAAACAGGAGAGGGTCACACTGTCAGGTTCTCCTGACCCTATAAGCAAAAAGCTCAGTAGACAACATCATCCTTTTCTTTCTTGGTTGGCCTAGCCCCTGGACTTAAAGCAGTCAGAGGAATGTTCAGTAGGGGTCAAGAGGTTGGCCCTGACTTGAGGAGCAAACAAGTGTGGTCAAAACACTATGTTGGGAATCCTGCCTGCTTTTTCCAGATAACTCTGGAATCCTAGTGCTACTGAATTTGAACCAACACATGGGAAGTGGAATGGGGTGGGATGATGCAACTACTTAAACAAACTCAGAAATCCAATAGGCATTATCACCAATGGAGCTTTAGAGATTTCCGGCAATCTTTTAGGAGGCTGGGACTAACCTATGAGTTGAAGGGGGTCCAATTGCCCTAAGTAATGTACACCTTTACTGGGATTTATCTTCTCAACTCATTCCCTACACCTCTCACCCCCAACACCCTACCCCATAGCACAATGCACCCAGAAGTTGTGTAGCAAAATGTATAAGAGGCTGCAAATATTTTTCTTGGAGAAGTATATGATGAAAAGGACAGAGTTTTACTCAGCAAAACTCCTCTTAGAAAGTGAGAGCTGTCTTTGTTCAGAAAATTCTTTGATAATTAATTGGGAGTAGAACCTGACAACTGAGCGGTCCCGATTTTGGTGGACTATCTGCAGGAGGCAAGCAGATGGGTTTTGCTGGTTGCTCCATAGACAGAGGGGAAAGAGGAGAGGAAAAATAAGAGAGGTGGGATGGAACCAGGAGATGCGAGCTCCTTGCCAGGCATATAACTTGAGGGCAGGAGGCAGCTTTAACAGCATTAAAACTCAATTTCGAAACTTCTGACTTTAAAATATTTCGAAAGGCATATGAAAGATGCTGACAACGTGGACTCCTTTCAAGTACAATGATCTTGGATAAAAAGACTGAAAAAGAAGAAAAGAAAACTTTGCTTATAAGGGCTTTCCCAGCCTCTTGCAAAGAGCCTGGCGAGAAGTAGGTGCTCCAAATTATTTGCTGAATGCATGACTTTTCTGTCATTCCCCACTCTCCCAACCTGCACTTCACACTTCGGCAATACTGAACTACTCATACTTTCCCATTTGTCATGCCCTCTCTCACTGTGTCTTCTATGTTTGGAATATTCTCGCCTATCCTTCCCTACCCTCGCTCCCCCAAAAGTACACCCTCTCTTTCATTAAACAAGTTCCTCCTCATTTTACACCCTGCCACCTACCACATCCCATGGACAAGGCTATATCTCTCATTTCCATCAGGCTCCAACTCAAAAATCACAGAACTTCTCAGAAAGGCCATCTCTGGCCATCTACTAAAGTGCCGACAATCCCTCACCCGCAAATCTTCATAGCGGCTTTCTGTGTCTGGTGTTAGACTGTGTTCAAATCTCACCTCTATCGTTTATCAGCTACGTGACAACGCATAAGGTTCTTAACAAGTCTAAGCCTTGTTTTTCTCATCTTAAAATGGGGTCCTATCACTTTATAAATTTGTTGTATTTAATATAAAATAGTAATAAATAGTGATAGCTATCTGAGGGCCTACAGTGCATTGGAAATTATGTTGAGCACTTTACAAGCATTTTATCTAATTGTCAGAGCAGTCTGAAGAAACTTAAGACGCTGAGCACAGGGCTTTGTACGTTGCAGACAACCAAAATACATCCAACGAATGAGGCCAAGCAAGGTTAACCAGGTCCGCCGCGGGCAGGCCATCGGCAGAGCCGGGAGTGGAGCCCAGTTATGTCTGAGCACAAAGCCCACGCCCCTGACCTCTACGCTATATTTACTTTGGCAATGTGCAAAGTGCTGAGGACAGTCCTGGCACAGCAAGCCCTTAATACACGGCGCTTTGTTATCACCGGCCCTCTGCGTTAGAGAACTAGGGGAGTGGGCTTTGAATGCTGACTTGCCAGTTTCCAGTTGGCCTTGAGCCCACAGGTCGGGGCAACAAGGTTTCCCTAATTGAGGTTTAGATGCAAAATGTGCCCTTCTTCACCCTATTCTCCCTCTCCCGCAATTGCGGTACGGGCGAGCGGCGCTAGGGTTGAGGGTGCGCCTCTGGAGTCCCCGTCCCCTGGGAACGTTGGGCAGTGCGGAGCTGAAAACGGCCCCGAGATGAAGAGAGCCTGTTTCCAGCCGGACCGCGTCCCTGGGCGCTCCCTAGCGCCGCGCCTGCGCGCTCAGCCCGTCGCCGCGCCGGCCCTGAGGACTTGCGCTCGCTACCTTCGCGGCGCCTGGGCCCTGATATGCGCGGCTGCCGGGCCCTTGCCAGGTCCAGGTGCGTGAGGAGGGCTTCAGGAACACGCGGGCGAGGTGGGGCGACCCCTGGGGAGGTCAGGCCTGCCTCAATCCCGCCAAAGTGCCCGGGGACCCTGGGCAGGGGCGCCACGACCTCAGCTCCTCCAGCTTCTTTTCCTTTCTCTTGTCCCCACCTCTTGAATGCGTTTAATGCAGAGCGGGAATCACTTGAGAGGAAGGTACAGGAGGGTTGCTTTTTCCCTGCTGTGGGTCGTGTCACATGTGGCACTGGTGTATGTGTGTGTGTGTGTGTGTGGCTGCGGCCAAAGCAGTTTTCACCCTTGCCCTTCCTTTCCTGGTGTGGGATTATGCAGTCTCTGGACCCGGCTCGACCCCTTGGTGGTTAATGGTTGTGGGCGATTAGGGCGAGGACTAGATGTCAGTGTCGTTTGTGCAGTATAGTCCCACTGAGAAGGAGAGGTGAGGGTCAAGGCCAAGAGAGTGGGGCGGGAGGTGTGGGGCAGAAACTAGGAAGAGGGAAAGGCTGTGATAAATGCCGCCAGACGTTATCCCCCAACTGGGAGTTGTTATGTTTCTCTCCGGTTTTTCGTTTCTTGTTCACTTACGTGCTATCCTCACTTCGCTTTAATGGTGTTAGTTAAGACAAGAAAATCAACAGGCTTCCAGCCTTGAGGCAGTATTGGATTTTATCGAGGTCAATTTTTACAGTCTTCTGAAGGAATGTGTCTTGCTCTTCTCATGATATTTTCCGGGTTGAACCATTGAGCAGATCTACCGTCTTATTTTTTATTTCAGTTTAACATAAGAAAAATTACACAGTCTTAGTTTTCTTAAAAAATGTTTTTAACAACAACAAAGTCGGTGGATAGAACAGAAAATCAGTTGAAATGGGATTTGGAGCTCTATGTGCACCCTTGTATGCATACACTGGGGACTGTACAGGGAGCGGTGGGAATCCCTGACCTGACACTTATAAATAGGACATGAGATCACCACTTGTCACCAGTGGTTCTAACAATATAGGGTTCCCAGTAAGTACTTTCTCACATGGTGGGGAGGCAAGTGACCGTAACATCCAGTCTTAGTGCTAGTGATGGGTGATCAGCCATTGACCCTTTTCTGTGCAGGTAGCCAATCCCTGTTATAATCAGAGTTCAGGTCTAGAGCAAAATACTATGTGTGATCATTCAGACCTAACCTTAGACAATTAATGGCTGGCCTCATGGGGGGAAGCTGCCCTCTCACACGACTTACTGCATGTCCAGTGCATTGCAATTTTTTGGAGTGAGTTGCAGTGAAGGTCTGACCCCTTCCCTCCCACTAGCCATGCTGATAATATAACTATTTTCTGGCCTAGGTACCTCCATTTAGAGGCCCTCTTATCAGGGACCCTGGCTGAGGCACTTTTCTCCATTTTGACTTAGGTCCTTTCCACTCCTAGCTGTTCCCCTCTCTTCCCTGGCCTGAGGATCCATAAGAGGACAGAGACTTTTTTTAGGGGTTCCTTTGCAGTGAGGGGATTCCCTCATGTGCATTCCATCCACCTGACCCTCACCTAGTGTCCTCTTTAATGGACCACAGGGGAGCCAGTGCCTCTTTTTGCTTCTTGCTTGCACTGTTGCAGAAGGGAATAAAGACTTAATTATTTGTTTGGCTCATTTTCCTGATTGACTACCTTGACACTTAATTGCTCCGCAGGAATTAAATATATTGCCAAGTTCTTGGCAGTTCACTGGATTCATGACTTAGTTTAATCCTCATTGCTCTTGCTCTGTGTCAGCATGTTTAGGGATTTTGGAGGTTGCTTGCCTGTAATTTCTCTAACTCAGTGTAATGAAAATGCATATTCATAGGACCAACAGCTGATTGTTGCTAAAATGGATATCTGGGTTATATGGTGTATTTTATAAATTAATGTAGTGGCTGTCAGATTATTTTATTTTGCATAGATTAGTATGGTATTTTCAATTTGGCCTCTAACTAGATGATTTCTTTTGGTAAATATTTTGGGGTAATGTGGGCCAAGTGAAGTAAACCAGACACTGTTGCTTTCCTTGGTAATCTTGTCTCATCTCATGGGCCCCTATCTTTATCACCCTAATAGATTACTTGGCCACTTAGAATAAAGTGATTTGTTGTATGTTCCCGTTTAGTGTTGTGTGAAGAGGTGTTAGGAACAGCTTTCACAGACTTTTTTTGCATCTTCCTAAAAAAGTTTCACACGACAATATTTATTCTTGCTATATGGTATGTGCTCTGATACTTTCTATTTTATTTACAAAATGTTGATCATCATACACTAAATTGACTTCACACTCCATTAATGAGTAGTGACCTGCAGTTTGAAAAACACTGTGACAAAACCAGTATTTGCTCAGTAAGTAATTTTTTTTTCTGTTTCGAATTCATATTGCTAAGGAGAACCACAGTGGGTGTGTTCATAATTTCGTGTTTAAGATGTCTCCTAGAAGAAGACAGTAAACCAAGTATATGTTGGAGGTTTGCCACATCAGCTGACAAAAGAACTTTTGAGTTTCTGGTAGACTTATCAACTCTCTGATCTCAACTAAAAGAAACAAGTACATTAGAATGAGAGAGCTAGCACTAGTACAGCTTTTTTTTTTAAATTTCTGACTCCCTTATTTAAGTGCAATGTAGTAGTAGAAGAAAAACGAGAAGAAAATTGGCTTCTTTGATAAAAGAGAAGATAGGATGTAAGATGGTTGTGAAAATTCCTGTTAAACTTTTTGTACATGTCTTACAGAGGTATATACAGAAGTCATTTTTATCTTTATATTCTAAGACCAAAATGACCCTCTTATTATATTAGGACCAGTGAACCACACTCAACTTTCAGTTACTTAGTCATAGATAAGTATATAACCAGTTTGTCGACCTCATAGTCTCTGTATTTGTCTTTTAGGAATTCCACAACAAAGTGGAAAAGAGAAATAAAAAGAACTGTAAATTTAGTCAGGGTGTTTATCTTTTAGTTAGAACCCCTAAAATATTATTGAAGAGATAGGGATAAGGTTTTAAAATTTGATTAGTGTTCAACTGTATAATACCTTGCATTTATATGTTACTTCACAGTTTTCAAACACATTCATATGATCCATTGATTCTCATAACAACTTGGTGTGGTAGGCAGTCCAAGAGATATTTTCCCCATTTTACACATGAGGAATCTGTATTTCCTTCTTTCTATCAATAAGCTCCTACAGTGGCAAATGCAGTACTAGAACCCAGGTCTTCTGAGAACTTTATCCTCGTTGTCCTTGTTAGTTAAAGAAGTAATTGAGAGTAAATAATGTTAACGTTGTGGCTAAGAAATCCAACTTTGATAAGTAAAACATTTTATTCTCAGCATGTCTACAATGTGCTATAATTTAAATGCAAATGCATCTTATTTTTAGTATTACATTTTAATTCCTATATACTTTACCTTTCTAGCCCAATTTTTTAAAGAAACGACAAAGCAACTAAATATTGAAAAATCTACTTAATAGTGAAATAGGAAAATTGGAATTAAAAGGTCTATTTAGTGTTAAGAAATTCACTAAATTTCTTAACACTAAATACATTTTAAAATTACTTTGTAATGTAATCTCAATTAGAAAAATAGCATAGGGCTGGCTGGTTAGGAAAATCTACTTAATAGTGAAATAGGAAAATTGGAATTAAAAGGTCTATTTAGTGTTAAGAAATTCACTAAATTTCTTAACACTAAATACTTTTTAAAATTACTTTGTAATGTAATCTCAATTAGAAAAATAGCATAGGGCTGGCTGGTTAGGTCAAGTTGGTTAGAGCACCTGTGTTGATAACACCAAGGTCAAGGATTCGGATCCCTGTACTGGCCACCCTCTAAAGAAAAATAGGTTAAAATTATATCAATTTTTAGATATTTCTTTTAAAAACTCATATCTCTGTACATGTGAAAGTAGTTTTATAATTCTAAAGTATTCATATAAAATAGTTATTAACTTGTAAACACAGGAAAAGTACAGATTTTCCTTTACCCTTAATATCTTTAGCCAAAAGACAAATTATTTCTTTTCATATGAATAAGGAATTTTTTAATTAATACACTTTTATTTTTAATTTTTAGACCTCTGTGGAGTCTAAGAACACTATGGAGCTCATCAGAGTATATCACTGAAGAATATGATGGCTGAAAACAATTTAAAAATGCTAAAGATTCAACAGTGTGTAGTAACCAACAAACTACCTAGAAACAGGCCATATATTTGCAATATTTGCTTCAAGCACTTTGAAACACCATCAAAATTAGCTAGGCATTATCTCATTCATACTGGTCAAAAGCCATTTGAATGTGATGTGTGTCATAAAACCTTTAGACAACTAGTTCATCTGGAGAGGCATCAACTAACTCATAATCTGCCTTTTAAATGTAGTATTTGTCAACGCCACTTTAAAAATCTGAAGACATTTGTGAAGCACCAACAACTTCATAATGAAACCTATCAGAATGATGTTAAACAGGTCAGAAGATTGCTGGAGGCCAAGCAAGAAAAGCCAGTGTATGGAATGTATAGTACTTTTACCACAGAGGAGAGATGGGCATTGCACCCATGCTCTAAGTCTGATCCCACACACAGCACTACAAAGAGAAGAAAGAATGTTCATGCATGTACAATCTGTGGCAAGATGTTTCCATCACAATCAAAACTTGATAGGCACGCACTTATTCATACTGGCCAGAGGCCTTTTAAATGTGTCCTGTGCAGTAAATCTTTCCGACAGTCAACTCATTTAAAAATCCACCAGCTCACACATTCAGAAGAAAGACCTTTTCAATGTTGCTTTTGTCAAAAGGGATTTAAGATTCAAAGCAAACTTCTGAAGCATAAACAAATCCATACTAGGAATAAGACTTTTCAGACTCTTTCATTAAAGTTGAAGAGTCCAGAATCATGCCCCCTGACTAGTAAATTAAATGCAAAACCAGATGGTCTCGAAAATGGTGATATGGGTGAATCTGAGGAGAATAATCCACTTGATGTCCACTCTATTTACATCGTTCCTTTTCAATGTCCAGAGTGTGAAGAGTGTTTTGAATCAGAGCAGATTCTCAATGGACACAAGTGTTTTCCTGCCAGAGGTGGCAAAATTCCAAACAGGCTCAAAAGAAGCTACAACTATAAAACCACTGTTAAAAAAATCTTAGCCAAGCTTAAACGTGCTGGGGGTAAAAAATTAGATAACTTTAGATCTGAGAAAAGTGTTTTTAAAAATAGCTTCTTAAAAAATTGCGATCTTATTTCTAGTGAACAGAACTCTGAACAAACCCAGAGAACATTTATGGGTTCTCTTGGCAGATATGGAACATATAAGACAGTTAGTAATAAAAAGAAGAAAACATTGACTTTGCCATTTTCTTGGCAAAAGCAATTCCAGAGCCAAAATGTGGGGAAAAACTTGAAAGGTATCTTTACAACAGAAAGCATGTTAACTATGGATAATTCCGTGAACAATAAAGACTTACCAATCTATGGTCCAGCAGGCGAGGAATTCTTTAATAGCTGTGAAGTGCTTCAGTGTGGTTTTTCAGTTCCAAATGAAAACATACATACTGGACATAAGATGTGTCCTTGTGACAAATGTGAGAAAGTATTTCCTTCTATATCCAAACTACAAAGACACTATTTAATTCATACTGGACAGAGACCTTTTGGCTGTAATGTTTGTGGGAAATCTTTTAGACAGTCAGCTCATTTAAAAAGACATAAGCTAACTCATATTGAAAAGATTCCTTATAGAAGATCTCTTTGCCAAGTAGAATTTGGAAATTTGAACAAACTTTTCATTCATTCAGGTGATGATATTAACTATAATGCTTCGCAGCAATGTCAGGCTCTTGGTTTTCAAAGATATGATGTCTCAAAGTCAGATCAAATATCGGAAATAGAAGTTAAGGCAGAAACAGAGGATTTCATTCTCGGTACCCACTGTAGGAACAGGCAGCCCTATCTGTCTAGTGCGCTTTTGGAATCAGAGCAGAGCCATCATTGTTGTAGTTACTCAGGGCGTTCCGAGAGAAATGATGGCCTCCTTTACCAATGCAGTGTGTGTTCTAAAAGTTTTCGATCTCCATCTAAACTGGAAAGACACTATCTAATTCATGCGGGGCAGAAGCCATTTGAATGCTCAGTTTGTGGCAAAACATTCAGACAGGCTCCTCACTGGAAGAGACATCAACTTACTCACTTTAAAGAACGACCTCAAGAGAAAGTTGTGTTGGATTCGACTATGTAACAATCTAACCACTAATGCATTTGTGGTCTTTGGTGATCTTGTTCTTAAGGCCTGTATCATTTGAAATGCATTTTTATCAAAATGCCTATAGTAGATTGAGTGATTTCATAGGCAGTTGCTTGTCCTGCATAGTAAGGAAGAGGTAAGATACATAGAAAATCCATAGTGCTTTAGGAACAATCGAATTTTTATAAGTAAGAACATTATTTGGTGCCATAAAGTAAGAATTTATTTTACTTTAATATTATAAACGTATACTTTGGTTGTTTTGAAAGTTATAAATCCATGATTCTCTTCAGATAACTCAGCCTCATTATTTAAAGGAATTATTCCTTAAGACATACCATCTCCTTTTTAGATATACTCAAAAGACAAATAGTCAAAAATTGGCTTTTAGCTGCAGCAAATAGCCCCACTATATTTCATTTATTTTACATTTCACATGAAAGTATAATTTTGTCTACCTACAGCTCAAATTGCATTAAGTTTTTTTTCTTAAAAGTTTAAGAAAATAGGCAATAAAAGTGAAAATGGATGAGAAAAATAGCATTATTTTCTATGATCTTTTCAAAGCTATTTATTCATAGGACTATGTGGTCATTTCACCTTCTTTTCCTCAGGAGATGAGGATTCTTTTTTTGCTCAGGCTGCTGCTGTCTTTCCCAAAAGAATTTAAAAGGGAAGAGGCAAGGATACACCCATATACATTTACCATATTTGCTTATCAGGAATATTTTCTGAGTGTCACCATCTTTTTGATAATATGTACACAGTTTTATCTTTTCAGAGGAATAAATGAAGTTCATCTATTTGTTAATGGTTGACAACAGTAGTCATAGACTTAAGACTTTCACTGAGAGATCTTTATCTCCATAAGACTTTTACTTTAGTAAAACTTTCTTTTGATGCCTCTAGTTGAGTAGTCCTATGACTTACCTAAGCCCATTCTACTAAATTGGATGAAATGGAAATTACTAGGTTTAGTTTTAGATTTTATTCTTCTATGTTTTTGCAAGACTAATGCTAAGGAATGTTATTTTGATCCATATTTTTTTTTTAATTAGATAACCATTCCGGTATAGGAATAAGATGCTTATAAAGTTAAGGATATCATTCCTCTAAACAGAACTGTCGTAATTTGGGAAATATTTAATTCTAAACTTATTTCATAATCACCAATTGTCCATCATATTTGCCATTATTTATAAAGTCTTTAAGAATGACATTTTCTAGCAATAAAAGAAATTAACCATTATGTTTCTAAGGTGAAAAGAGCAGGTGGGTATTTATCCTAACACACTTAAATATAGTGAAAAGCCCTCAATTAAGAATGTGGATAAGTGAACAATTGCAAGTTTTGCATCATATTCTAAGAACTGGGTTTTTTTTGGGGGGGGCGGCGGGGGGGTTGGTCTGCTTGCTTTTGCCACAAATGAATTTTCAGTAACTTGAGTTTAATTGCAGAGATGAAACATGTCAGTATGAGTAAAATACCCAGTGATGTACAAATGTGCTTATTTTTTAAGTAATAGAGACATCCAGCTAAAGCAGAGGAGAATTACATGCTTTAAAGAATAATTTCTCGTAGTTTTCCTTGAGATATATTTCTCCAGTGCAAGCAAGATAATGGTTTACAGGATTTGTTTTACACAAAACTTTTCAAGGACACATCTGTTCTGTAAAAGCAAAGAATAACTACCTTATACTTTCCAAGAATAAAAGTTCCCATTTTTTCCTTAATATGTCTGAAATTATGGATTTTGGCATTTTCCTAACAATTTATATAATTTTGTTTGAAGGAAATGTCTTATGTACGTCTTTCTCAACCTAAACAGGGAGAGTCCTAACAGCGATGTGCTTGTATGATTATGAGACTATTTGCCTAAGTGATGCGACTAAACTTGTTTTTTTGCCCGTGTTTTTTAAGCTGTTTCATATTGAAAGTTGGGATATTGTAAAAATTTTGTCAAGGATGTACTGTAGTGCTATTTGAAGTACCTGTAATAAAACACTTATTTACCTTTATTATCATTGCAAGCTTCTTACGGAAACTATAGGAATGAAAATAATGTATACATCCATGTTAAGAAGATTAAATATTAAATGTTAAATGATGGTTTGCTGCATGCTAAAACTCTTAGTGTTGTTGAATCAATTACTTTGGTTTTCTGAAAAGTACAGTTTATAAATATCTTTAAAGAGAACTAAAAAAATTTTTTTTGCTTGGGTGGTTCTAGGATGTAGCATGATTATTTACTAAAGTACTTTGATTGGCTAGCTGAGTTAGATTTATTGTTTCTTGTTTTGTACTGTAATAAGGCCTATAATTTTAAGATAAAATGCTTTGAAGGGAATTACATGGTGGTTAAAATTTCTTGAAAAATTCTAATTTCAGAATATTTTAAAAATAAAGTTTCAAGTTACACAGTTTGGAGGGTTTTTTTTTTTTTTTTTTTTTTAAGGAAAATCATAGTATTGGAACAAGGTACTGATTTATTGTCAAACACTTTCATGGACTCACTCCAATTCACCTTCTACTATGAACTTACATGGATCTTTAGTCATTTACTTACTTGTTCACATTACATTTTTTTGATAGCTCCTTATCACCTACAAAAGAATATGTTAACTCTATTGCACGTCGTATGGTCTACCTACTTATCTATTTATCCTCCTCTTCGGCCTTTCTCTCCAGATTTGTACTAAAGAAAAATAGATTTAGTTTCTCCAGTATGTATTACTCTTGTTATTTTTCTGCCTCCATGTTGTTTACCAACTATTAATTTAAATTAGACACAGACTCTTACACTCTGTTCAAAGAAGAAGTATAGTTGAGTCAGGTTTTATTCCTTTGTCTTCCCAATTTGGGGAGAAAACAAATGCTTAAAACTGACTTGCAGAAAACACAGATTTCAATGTACATGTTATGTAAGACAACCAATTAGAATTACAGACATTTTTAGGACAGCAACAGTTTTTGAAGTCTGGGTATTGTGCAAGAGTTCTTTGTTAGAAATGACATTTGCATGGACTTATGATGCAGAATGGCATCTGCTTTTTAGAAACTGAAGGAAAAGGGAGATTTTGTTGATATTTCTCCTATTACTAGTTAGAATTTCAGGCTAAGTGGTGGAATTCTATTAGCACTAAGAGAAAAAAGGAAATGAAACTGGAAGAAAAGTGGTACAATAGTAGTATTAAGTGGAATATAGAACGTCATATTTGCATCTACATTGCATGCTTCTATTCATTCTTTGAAGTTTAAGCTTAAATACTACTTCCTCTGAAAGCCTTTCTGATTTACCCAAGCACTCCATCCTCTCTGCTTCCACTACTTTTTGTTCATAACTTGTTTCTGTTGATCTTCCATTAAAAACTAGTGGTTTTCCAACTTTGACGTGCATTCAGCTTGTTAAGATCATGGATTACTGGGCTGCATCTTCACGATTTCTGATTCAGTGTCTGAAATTTGGGCCCAAGAATTTGCATTTACACAGATTAGTATTGCTGTCATGAGACTACACTTCGAGAACCATTGAGCTAAACTACATGCTTCCTGAAAGCAATGTAATGGATCTTTTTATGTTTTATACAGGGAGCTTAATACAGTGTCTGTCAAACATCAGGTCCTCAACTGTGTATTGAATGTATGAAGGAAGAAATTAATGAATGAAGCAATTTTTATAACACTTTTACATTCTCCTTAAATCTGTAACTTCACTAAGATCCTTTCATTGTACTCTCATGTTTGTCTTCTACTGTGTTCAGATCAAAGCCAATCAGACATGTACTCTAAACTTCTCATCATTCAGAAATGGATTTATCTTCACCCCTTTTCTCTTTCTCATTATCTGTCTCAGAATAATGTTTCTCCACCTTTCTGAAGCTAGTTTTTTCTTGCCCCCTTCTGGGAACTTCATTAATATTCCCTTCATTTTTCTGGTAGCTAGTCTTCCCCTCTATATTGGTTCCTTCCCCTCTGCCTGAAAAAGAAAATTCCATGTATTCCCTATTCAGTTATGATGCTTTGGGCTGCAAGTAACAGAACATCTGACTCAAACTGCTTTAGCATTGTATTAGTCTCTTTGTGTTGATATAACAGAAATACCTGAAACTGGGTAATTTATAAAGAACAGAGGTTTATTTGGCTTATGATTCTGGGGACAGCTGCATCTGGCATGGGCCTCAGGCTTCTACTCAGTGGAAAGCCACAGGCAGCTGGCAGGTACAAGCAGATCACATGGCGAGAGGAAGCAAAAGAGAGAGAGAGAGAGAGAGGAGGTGCCAGGGTCTTTTAAACTAGCAGCTCTCTTGCTAGTAATATTGATTTG